CAGCCTTAAGTGTCGAGAACCGTCGGTGGCTTTAGTATTTGAGTGGCATATGTATTTAAACAAAGATTATGACAAAATTCGATGACACATGACAATACTATTTATTAGCTGCTTGTTTGATTATAATGTTTATTATTGATTTAAAATTGTCAGAATTGGTCATGTCGTGCGAAGCACGGAGTACTTTTTTTTTTTCCTCCATATTCAGAGAATAAAAATTACATAGTTAATAATATAATTCTTGATTTGTCCCGGCCAAAAATGCCATCCATCTCTCAATGCCTAATTCTTATGTACAAAGTTGCATGCTCCAATGTTCGTTCTTACTTAAACAACCAAATACTGATGCGGATTACATGAATTCGCTGTCATCCTTCTCACAATTTTCAGTTTCATGGCGTGTATAATGCTAGCCGGCGGTGGCAAAGAGATTGCCATCGTGATTCCGGCGCGTAGAATGACGTCGCATGCGTTTTCTACCGGTGAAGGATTTAAATCGCCGTCACTATCATCGTCGTAGCAAAATGTAACCAGATAAAGCACCAAGTAGGCGATCGACAGAATTCCGGTGATGGTCATGTACCAAGTACCGACGGATGCGGACTGAGCGTTTATGTGTCTTTTAGCAGATGAAGACTTGTTTATGTGTATGGTGAGTACGGGGAGAAAAGAGTACAAGAATGACGAGATAATTGTGGAAACACCAAATATTAACTATATGAAGTTGGTTTTAGAGCTGGTGTTAGTGAGACAATCAACCAAACCAGGTGGTACATAATCGATCTACCCAGCATTATTGGCTCAAAACCAATAGCAGATAGATTATATGATTGGTGAGCGAAAAACAATAATACAATGCGTGAATTAGTAAAACATCACTCACTTGAACGAGGAATAACGGAGTTTGAAAATGTTTATATTGATTTAAATAAATTAATGCACCGTCGGCTATGTTCACGGAATCATAGATGATCAATTGTAATACGGTAATTTTGAAGAGGAACGTATTCCAGATGTTCTCCCCGTAAAACTTTCTACCCATATCTAACATACACGTTACCAATACTGAAGTGTATACAGCTCTCGCAATTGCGAATATAAGCCAATAAAGGCTCAAGGAAATCCACGAGTAGTTTTGAGCCACACAGTAATTACATACGCCGACAAAAAGTATTGAAATGGTCGCCACCAGACTATTCAAGATGAGGAGAGCTATGTTATTATATGCGTATAAAATATTAAGAAAACAGCATGCCAGATATTCGCTCACCATGCGAGTCTTAACTTCGTGAAGTTAGATATGCATAGGTATAATAAGAATAAACAAGATATAGCAGTGAACACCACACTTCCTATCAAGAAATCAATTTCCAGATTAGATGCCATTCCGAAAAATCATCAATATTTGCAGGGGTAGTGTTGAGGAGGAAGATTGTTGATTTGGAGTAGAAAATGAAGGCTCGTTTAGAAAAGTTTATAAATGAGTGTATAGGTTAGGTAAATAAATGCGTAAATAGATAGATATATATAGATAGATAGATAGAGGGAGAAGAATTCTGGTAAAAAATTTTGAACAGGTAAATGTGTGATATATAAGGAAAAAATAAGACTATTATTTGGAATAAATGTATTGAATTATATTATTCGTTACTTTTTTCGACGGCAAGCCAAATTTGTTGGTATGCCTAAAGCAAATGGTTAAACAAAAAGGCAGTGTCAAAAAAAAAAAAAAAAATCCGTGTCCTGCGTGTATTTAAATGATTTCGTGTCGGAGTAACTTTAAATTAATGCGTTAAATTTAGAACACATCTTGATTTGGCGGACAATAATTTTTTTTTTTTAGTACCTTAACACAGCAAGATCACCGTCGGGTATTGTTACCCAATAATAAATAACATTAAAACAATGCTAACCCATTTCCGCAACGAATTAATATAAACAATGTATCATGTACTTCTCTTGCGAGAAATAAAAAAAAAGTTTAAACGGCAAAGTTTCTTTCAAAGATCTGCTTGCGACACATAAGTCCGATCCAGAAAGAATCTTAATATGATGATTAATTTTGATAGAAGTCTTTACCTCCTAAAGAATGACAAATAATACATGAGTCATTAAAAATATATCGTTGTCATGTGATGTTGATGGTGGTGAAAATAGACTCGAACCAAATGATACACAACTCTGTTCGACTGTATTACTTGATGATGTAATCAAGCATAGACCAATGAAAAGGTGTTGGCTAATTTGAGTGATTACAAAAGCGAGTGAAAAGTGTCACGATCACCAAAATGTATGGTTTATGCCCATAGAATATAAGTTTTCTTTCATTTCGAAGGAACGTTATCAGTTTGACCTTCAAGGTTTATCGCAGACGCAATTTTAAATTCGCTTGAAACTGACGTTTGTTTTATATTTCAATATTTGTGTTTGTGAATTTTGAATGTCATAAAACATTCTGATGTTCGCCCTCACCAATCGGAAGTTTTCTTTACGCTTTTGCGACCGGCATTGTTTCACTGTGTTGGTTTTCCCGATTATTTGCAGTATCAACTGATGTATTTGTTAATTTTAATCGTCAGTGAATTGTTTGCTTATTTGTTCATCAAATATTAACAACCCCTTAAATACTTTAGTGATAAATCTAAAAGTCATCACGTCGCGAACCTTGGTTTGACTTTTATATCTTAGTAATTAATAATAGTTTATTAAAAATTAAAATATTTTAAATAATTTATAGTATTAATATACTGTGTATACAGTATATTATATATTTATAGTATTCAACTTGCAATTATGTTATCATGGTTTGTTGAGCAGAGATTTTTTATGACATGGGGGTGAGCATTACATTCGTCACGCAGTCAAATTCGCGAAAATCGCGAAATTATCAAAATTGCCGTGAGCTTTATTAATGTTTCGTGGAACTAACATTAGTTAAATATAATGTAAATTAAGATAATTCGTACATAAATATAAACTATTCATTAATAAAAACTTAAAATTTCATAGATTTACATTATAAATAGAAATAGTTTTACTAAAAAAAATTAATTAAATCATATTTTATATAAAAAAATTATTTTATTATTATAAAAAATTTAGAAATTTAAGTTACTATTTAAAAAAAACCATAAATAATGATTTAAAAAATAAATTATTTTTTTTTTAATTGGATTTGTAAGATATTAATTTCTTTTTCCTTTGTTAAATAAGTAAGATATTTCATATCTTCTGAAAAATCAATAGAAAGTTTCTTAAAATTAGAAGTCGAATTTTTATTTGTTGATGAAATAAAATCATTAATAGCCATTGTTAATTCATTATTATAGCTATTTTCATTTAAATTAAAATTATCAAATATTTCATCATTATTTATTTCTTCAATATCAATAATATTATTATCTATTTTATAGTTAATTTCATTATTTTCATGATTGCTTTCTTTTAAAGTCAATTGAGAATTAAAAGAAGTAACTAATACTTCAATTGATACTTTATAATATTGAAAACAATAATTATAATTAGAATTCAATAAATTATTAAAATAAGTAAAATAATAAAAATGTTTATATAATAAAACCTTTATATTAGAATCTATATTATTACAAAATTGTAAATTACAAGGTTTTTCTTTATTTGAAATTTAATCAGTATGATATACTGATGGAAAAATTCTTTTTGTAAACTTTTTTCAATTAATGAAATTTAAACTTTAGTTTGTTTTCAATTTTAAATCCATTTTGTTTTTGATAAAAATTTTTAAAAAGAAAAATACTTGTTAAATTAGATAAAAAATCTAATTGAGATTTAAAAAATAAATAATTTTTAGTTTGAATAAAAGATTTGATAAATTTATTTTTATGTTTTTCATTATCTATAAAAATAATATATTGTCTAAAAGTTTTTGAATTTGTTAATTTTAAGGTAATATTTCTATAAACAATACTATAAAAATTTTCAACTAAATATTTATCAATTATATTAAAATATTTAAAAAATATTTCAATAATTGGATATTTTTATTAAAAAAAATCTGATAAAAAATATAGTATTATTTAATTATAATTTTTTGATTGTATTTTTTCATAAATATCTATAATCAAAATATTGTTTCATAATAATATTCAAAATAATTAAGCCTAAATAAATTTGTATAAATATTTAAAGTTAAAGGTATAATATTATCCAAAAGATTTAAAATTAAATAAAAATCTTAATTTTTAGAGAATCCATATTTTAATTTTAATTCATCCAATATGTATACTATAAAGTAATAAATTTTTTGCCATGGTTTTGGTTTTTCTGCCAAATTATATTTTTTATTTAAAATATTTTTATATAATTTATTAAAAAATAAATAAAATTAAATTATACGTATTTCATTTTTTTTCTTAAAAAAATTTTTTTTTTAATAATTTTCTTGAAAAAAAGAAGCCAGCCTAACACATTTTATCTTTCAAAAATCTGAAACTTAATAACAAACTATAATATTCAACCACTTTTTTAAAGATCATTTTATTTATCAAGAGAATTATAGGTAGTACAGCAATATTTCAACTCTACTTTACTTTACTTTACAAATATATATATATATATATATATTTATAAGCTACATCATAGTAAGCTTAGAAGAGTCCAATATTAATTACTCAAGTTTCTAGCCAGATCAGTATTAGTTTATACTTTTCTAGACATTAGAAGGAATTTCATCAACAATAGTTCTTATTGATAAATCAGAAAAAACTCAAAATTTATAAAGCTTAGAAGGATATCAAAAACTTTCAAGAATTAAATAGTAAAGTATTTTGATTCTATACACATCTGTCTAATAATAAAACAAGTTATATGAATATATATATATCAAATAAATATAGTATTAAAACAATATAGCAAGGTTCACCAAAAGTCTATAAACAAATAATCCATTCTTTACAATAAAACATATTAATAACTATTTCAGTAAACAAGCAGATTCAAATAGGAAGGATTAACAACTTATTCGAGTAAA